TTCCAGTGTTAGAAAATCAGCACTGCTCAGTGTTAGCCATTGTTAATCTTCAAAACTGACTAGGTTACTTTTAAACATATAACACTGTCAAAAGTGTTAATTTAACACTGGAGATTTTGCTGTGTGCCTTCTTTGAGGTTAGTGTTTAACCTCATAACGCCAAGTGTCTCACTTTTGATAAAAGAGATTTTGAGACTTTTACATCATCAGTCTGACTTTTCTTCCAGGAAACCTGAAGTACACAGTCAGACACATGGTGTGAGAAATAAGCTGTGCAAAAAAGTCAAATGTAGCCAAAATGATAAAAACAAGGTGATGTTCATATAATTCAGGGCACCATGTAGAATATAAGGAGCACTTCTGTCAGGCCATTCTTATGAATATTCTACAGAGGAAGTATCAGTGAGAAGAGGTGACGTCATCCTGATGTCTTGCCTATGACTAAACTACATCAGCGCCACCTATTTCCTCTCTATGCACACAGAAGAAACAACACAGCACCTACCTCATGCCGATGAGAAAATATGTCTCCATTATTTAGGAGTTACCACCATCAAAACACAGTATATACATCAGCAACACATTGTGGCTACTCTTGAGGAAATAGAGTTTGGATTATTTTTCCAATATTATTTAACCCTCTTGTTTAAATTACAGTTTTTCATGGCACAGGGTCTGTGACTAAATGTTTTCTGTTTGTGGATTCATCATATTCCTTGATCTTATTCATGGTTTTTGATTCTCATTATTGTTTTCTGCTTATGTTATATTCTTTATATTCTTAGTTACCTAGTCTTCCCCGTGTTCCACGTTTCATGTTAAGTTACTCTTGTCTCTGTGCTCACTATTTGCTCTGTTCTTGCTGTCTCTCTGTTTGTGTGATTCCTGTTTTCCTTTGATACTCTCGTGTCCTTTGTTAATGTTTTCTGCTTCACTCCTTTTGGTCTCGTTTTGTCTGATTAATTACAGCTGTGTTACCCTCCTGTTGTCCATTTCCTCATTACACTAGTGTGTGTTCTCCTTTGCTCCCTGTCAGATCGTCTGTCGGTTTAAGGTTTTTTAGTTCTACTTTTCCAGTTTCACGTTTAGCTGTTTCCAGTTTAGGTATTGTTAGTTCCCTTCCTGCTTTTCCTTTTGTAGTGTTTGTGTAGCCAACAATAAAGGCTCGCCTTATGTTAAACATTCACCTCCGCTTAATGTGTCTGCATTCTTTCTCCTCTCCACACGGTTTGCTAGCTCAGACCGTGACACTGTTATTTAACCCCCCTTTAACCCATCATTATTTAACCCGAGGGTCAAGGGTTTAATTTTACCTACTTCTGATTTTACATGTCTTTTTTAAAAAATAGTTTCCTTGCCTTCTTTGTCTGCCTTCCCGTGTTTATAGTTATATACAACCATTAACATTGTCTGTTGAAGGTTCTCAGTCATCCAGGTCATCGTAGTCTAGGATCTTGGAAAAAAAAGCGTCTGGACTTCTTTAAGTTGCTTGAAGACGTTTCACCTCTCATCTGAGAAGCTTCTTCAGTTCTAAGGTCAAATGGTGGAGAGTCCCAGATTTAAACCCTGTGGGAGTTTCCCCCCAATGAAGGACAAGGGACCCCCTGATGATCCTCTACCTAATCACATGAGCCAAGGTGTGATTAGGGTGTGGGTCACAATCAGCCAGGGTTTTGGGTGAGCTCATTGTGAAACCTAACCGCACCCTATCATGTGATTTCCTGAGGTCAGATGACCCAGGGTGTGAGTGGGCGTTAAGGCGTCTGGGAAGGGATCTCAGAGGGAT